CGCGACGACGACGACGAGAGAGAGAGAGAGAGAGAGAGAGAGAGAGAGAGAGAGAGAGGGAGGGAGGGAAAGAGGGGGAAAGGGATGAAATACACCGCTGTGGTGGGGAGGGTGGATGCCGGTGTGGCGAAACGAGGATAGAGGAAACGTGGAAAAAAAGTTGGAGGAAACGAGAAGGAATCCTCTTCTCTTCTTCTCGTCCCGTCTGACCCCCCAAGCGCACCCCTGCAACCCCCTGCATCCACCGGACGCCGTGCTTACCAGCCATAAAAATAAAATTTCAATAAATCTCCGGCAGAGGGTGAGCTAGTGGGGCATCCAGAGGGCGGGCTACTCGCTCATTGGAGCTGCGTCTGTAGCGGTTACCGCCTACCGCAAAACAGAGACAGCTAGACTACAGTAACCTGGATAGAGTTTACCTCGGATATGGACAGCCCCGCCAACCACCGTAGTCCGTGAGCAAAACTCTGCCACTACCGCTTCTCGATTTCCTTCCGTCGTCTTTTTTTCTTCTTTCTTTCTTTCTTTCTTTCTTTTTCCTCCTTCCTTCCCTCCCCTCCCTCCCTCTCCCCCCTTCTTCATCCTCGCGACTCGAACTACACTATCCCTTCTTACTTTCCTTTCCTCGTCCTCTTCCTCCTATTCTCCTTGGACGTCTTTTCTTTTATCCTTTCTTGTATTTTCTTCCTTCCGCTCTTTCTGCCCTGCCAATCTGTGTCTATCGGTGTCTCCGGACTCGCGTGCCATCTCCCGGATAAAGTGCTATCGGAAGTGGGCCGATTTTATAGATTCGCTTCACTAACTCGTCGACCGATCTTTAGAAAAAAAAAAAAAAAGAGGAAGATCGTGCAACGAGGCCGTTGTTTCGACGATGCTATCTTCCAACTTTCTTATACCGTTTTAGCCGATTTATCGAACGAGCCAGAAGAAATTTCTTCTAATCACAATCACATTTTCCAATCTTCTTTCTATTCGATACGATGATCATACGATGATAATTCTATTTTCGTCACAGATCCACCCCTTCCCCTTCACTTTTGCAAACGTCCTCGATTCGGGGCGAGGAAAAGAAAACTCGGCAAATGGAAACGGTGCTCGTCGAAAAGTATCGTTTCCAGGTTTCCGTTCCAGCTAGCTACGCTCCTGGCGGCGGCGGCGAGTCTGAAGCACGGCAGCGATTTAATATCACGCCCACAGGCCAGGCGCGGGAGTGAGAACGGGCTGGCGCGTGCAACGGGGGAGAAGAAGAGGCGCGCAAGAGGGTGTTTCGCGCGACAGAGAGGGAGACATTCGCGGCTGTCCTCGGCGGTGGGGGAGCTCGGATATGGCAGCTAGGCAGTCCGCTGTTGCCTTGCTGGGGCACGGGCCGTTCCTCGAGCAAGTCTTGTCGGTTGTATCGCTGCTTGCCGCGTTATATTCACGATAAACTCGCAGTACAATACCTTTTGTCGGGGTAGGAAACGTAGGAAAAAAGCTTACGAGGGTGGCTCGCGGTGACGCGCGGATTTTCGGTAACCGCGTACTATCTGTGTCGGGGGTTGCATTCCCCGGGAACGGCATGCTCAACAACATCTCCGCCGGCGGTTCGGTACACGGTATTTCCGGTAAGTAAGGAGGGAAAGGTGCGACAATCTTTTGGCCCCTCGATGGATCCCGTGTGTTTTATTTGTCAAAATATTTTGAAGGGAATATTTTTACGCGGCGGTACTCTTCGAGGGTGGTTGTAGGATGGATTCGTGATGTTTCACAATTTTCCACAAAAAATGGCCTTTTTGGACGATGTTCGGAAGGTTTGTTGCGATTAATTTTGTCGCTCGTTATTCTGTGGTTGGTTGGTTCATTGTGAAAAGTGGAGAAGAAGGTTTTTTGTGCTGTGCAAGCGGTTGATACTGGCTTGGCCTAATCTTTCTAATATTTTTGGCTCTTGAGTAAAGGTATCATGATATTTGGTTTTTGCATCTTCTTGTAGTGATTAATCGTAGGATAACGTTTAAATTTTATTATAAAAAATGGAGTAGATTTATTGCAAATTAATTTCACTCGCTGAAAGATACCATACGAAAAAAAGATTTTTTTTTATTTGAATATTTAAAATTTGAATATTCATTTTAATATCTAAAATTGACCGAATAGCGTTAAAGTGTAATATTTTTATTTTATTAAAACGTTAAGCGGTTATCACTTAAAGGATTTTAGAGTTCTGTGGCAAATATGAATAAACTTTTGTGTCTTTTCTTTCCTTCATTTTTGCAATAATTTAATTTCGATTGTTTACTGAATTGTAACTCGTTCACAAAAATTTTAATATAATTTATAAAATATTCTTTTATAAAAATAACTCTTTTAAAAAAATATTACACGTTTTATGAATCGTTAAGAAATCGTTGATATTAAAACTTTATAACTGTCTATTATTTTTTCTTGCATAAAAATTAGTTTTTATTAATATTTAAAGAGTAACATTAGTTGAAAACACGAGAATGTCAAAGTTAATATGGTCATTTACGTTTAAAAGGTTGTTAATTATGAAAGAACTATTCATACATGATATTAACTAAAAATCTGTTAAAAAAATAAACATTTCTCTGCTTCTGATACCGAGTGATCCGCGCAATTGTTTTCACAGTTAAGCAATTATACTTGTGAATTATATTTTATTCGTTACTTTCTTTCGTGATAGACTATAAAATACTTATAAACTTTATGGACGATAACATATTCATTTCATTTTTTTACCACGAAATTTCATGGCACGCTCGACAAAACTCTGTCCGTCGGACATGTTTCTTTACTTATATATTTGCCTACTACGCATTTATTTTGATCTTATACGATTCATTCTTTCATTCGAATATTTTAAAAACAATTTGTTTTAATAATTGACTAATCGCTACAAAATTTTTTCTATTTATTTTATTTTATTCCATTCAGAAGTAAAAATAAATGGAAATTATATCCAATATATCAAACAATTTTATAACACAAATTTCTCAAATATAAGATAAAAATTCTAAAATACAAATAATAAAAGAAAAAAACAATACCGTTCTTCAAAATATAAGTGAAATACACTCTTCGATATTCCATTCGATATTCAATCGTTTCAACATCAGTCAATGTCTATAGGTATATTTTTTTTTTATAAAAACTTTCAAAATTTAAAAAAAAAAGAACCCAAAGGCAGGAAATATCTCGAAAAAGATAGAAAGCCGTTCCCATTCATCCCCATCAACGGAATCATGCGGAAATTTTATGTCGCGCTCAGTTTTCCCTGTCAAAAGTCACGGGTGCGCAAGCAAAACAGAAAGGAAAAGTTGGCCGAACGATAAAAAGAAAAACTTTGGCCCGATAACACGTGGCGGACGCTTGTTCCCGCCCAAGGAAACCGCTTCTCGAGTTTGATGACCTTAATTACTTCAACGCTGATTACATTAGGCGAGAAGTTAAGGAACGATTTAGAGTTGGGACTAGTAGTAGAAACCGAGCAAAAGCGCGACGTGTCAGTTCAATTAAAGAACAATTAACCGTCGATTTTTGTCGCTATGCACAATTCTCTTTCATCCAGAATTTATTCTTTGACTTTTAGAGATACTTTCTCTTCTTTTCCAATGCAAACGTCAATCGTTCTTAACAATCGATCTCGTTACAACTTGCAAAAATATTTTTCTTACATTACATCTCTTTCGTAAGATCGTAACATGGTTTCGATTTTATAATTTTCCGAATTAATTTACAACGAAGGAAAAGTGACGATTCTAAGTTCATTAAAATTGTTAATTTCATTTGACGACACGAAATCAAAGCATCGAGACGATGCACCGTTGCACGACTTTTGACCTTTGAATTTTGCGTATGTGTGTCGATCCGCTTCCGGATTCGATAATACGATTTATACATTTATTAATCAGACGTTTGCAATCCGATTACCATCGATCACGAACTTTTTAAAAGATCATCGATACAGAGTACAGAGATGTCGTTTCTTCGACGATCATCCTTGTCAATAACGCCTTATATCGAGTTCGACGCCTTTTTTGCCAATAAGAAGATAAAAGAAGGGATAAAGAGAGAGAAAAAGCGAAATATAAAGAGAAAATAACATCCACAAGTGGATTCGTCGTCTTAAGGACAATCCTTTTAATTCGATTAAATAATCCGATAATCCGGACAGGTGGGATAGGATTAAACAATGATTCTTGGCGTTAATGAGAGGCAAACGGTTGCGAAGCAAACAAAAGGTTAGTAGCACTAATCCTCGAGCGGTGCGTTCGCACTAATCATACCTTGTTTGCCAATTTTTATCAAAACACGGCAAGCAATTAAGCGAATTGAATTTGCTAGCTCTCGTATTAATTTAATATTTATTTGTCCATCTTTGTTTCTCGTTTTAATACCCTTTTAATTTAAAAGGATCGAAACTCGCGTTTATGATACTACATGTCAAAGGACGAACAGTTTCCGACTTTTGCGATACATACTGTGCCGTTCTTTATATAAAATTACGTTTTTTTTTTTTTTTTTTTCTACCAATTTAAATTGATCTTGATCGAGACGAATTAAATTACACGGGTCATGGCGCGGATCACATAGTGACAATTCAATTCAACGCGCTCTTTTTTTAGTGGAAGCTTCGCAACTGCGTGACAAAAATTGTTGGAAAATTCATGGAAGAATCCAGTATCGGCGTTCTCTCTTTCTCCCGTTCTTTTTACCCTCCCCTCCCTCTCTCTCTCTTTCTCTGTTGTCTCTCTTCCTCTCTTTTCGCAGAAACAAAAAAAAACCACGATGAAGAGATCAAAGGAACCTACCGAATTTTAGACGGACGAGGCAGGCTTGCTCATAAATACCGGGTCTTGCCCAGTAAAATCGAAATAAAATCATCAACGCCCATAAAAGTAAAACGAAAATAAAGACCAGTCATAAAGTTCATTCATACCAAGTTTCCATTGAGTAAACGGTTGTTTGCACGTTGGTGGTCGTCGCCAGGCAGTCCTTTCGTCCAAGTAATCGCACTGTTCGACATCGAAAAGATATCTGTCTTTCTCTCTCTCTCTCTCTCTCTCAAGAATGATCTTTATGATCTTTTCGATTCCACTAATCGAAAGGATCGACTTCCTATTCCCTTTATTCGTCTATTATTCGCATCTGTCCATGCGCGATGCATTTTTGCAGACGAGATCTAATTTTCGAATCGTTATCGAATTTTCCATAGTTTTGACATTTTTTTCCCCCTCCCCTCCCCTCCTTGCTTTTGGAGAATATTGGAGAATCTTGTCGGTCGAAAATAGTTTTGACGAGAAAAAAAAACGGGAACAAAAAAAACAATGGAAACAGAATTTCGGATACACGGCGCTATCATGAATAATGCCCTCGATGGAGCAGAAGAAACTTCCAAAATTATCGCGGACGACTCATGGTGGAAGTGGCAGTGCAGCGACAGTCGATATATTCGTCGGGCATAGCTACAAATTATATTAACGATGTGCACGATGTAGCGAATATCGGTCGGACGAAAACGATTGGATTTTCAGCCAGGCGTTTGCATAACTTAGCAAAAAGCGGCGACGATGTTCGATTTCTCGCGGAAATATGCCCCCCGTCGAAATTTTCCAACTATTTCCACCAGTGCTTTCGAACGTCGTTCAAATTCCAGACTATTAACGTTATTATGCATGTGCGGTTGCATTAAGCATTTTGGATAGGTACGCGCTGATCCAGACTCACGGAATGAATCACTATTAGCGGGCCGGATTATAAAATATCGATGCAAAACTGCCGGTCACCATGTTTATGAAACCAATAAAATTCCTTGGTTACTATATTATCGTTTTCGTTCTAAACGGGTGTGACTTCATAACGCTTGTGATGTACGATCCGACGATTAACGGTCTCCGAGATATCGAGAGAAATATTATATCCGTCCAGTAAAAAATATTTGTCATATCCGTTGCGCATCGCGCAATTTTCTAATCAATTTTCCCAGTTAATCATAAAGTTCGACGCGTCGTCGATCTTTAAAATTCGTTACTTTCCATCCTCCATATTCATTCTCGTCCGAATTTGAATTCCATCACTCGATCCGTCGCTTCCTTGATCGATCTCCTCGAATTCCGATTTTTTCGAATCTTTTGACGAAAAAAAAGTCCCTAGACTGTTGGAGACTAGAGGTTTAGGAACTAGTTTAGTCGATTACGTAAGGAAATTTGACAAAGCGCAACGACGCGCGATGGCCGCGCGATCATCGGGTTCCCCCGTCGCGGCCGTTTCACTCGTTCTCCTCCTACGCATTCTAGAAATTTTACACGTAGCCGTGGCTGGCTGCGCGCGCGCGCCAACACGTGTTGGTGCGTTGCACGGAACCCGTGTGTGTGTTTGCTCGCCTAGAAGCCGGAGGCCGGTGACGATTCTCGCACCTTCGTGCTAAGTGGTCCGTGCTCCCCTCACCATCGGCCACTCGGCTTCTGCTCCTATACAAATTTAAACTACATAGAGCAGAAAAGGGAGTGAGCGCGAGGACGAGGAGGGGGAGGGGGAGGAGGGCCGGTGGCGGGCGCGGGGCTAACGGAAAACTGTAATGGCTTCGTTTTTTTTTTTCGCGTTTCGCGTTCGCAGGAGCGAAGGATCTTCATGCACAGGACCTGAAGAGGCACGAGAAGTTGGACGGCGTGCTGGGAGTGAATTTGGGGACCGGATTGTCTGCCGGCGGTGGCCTCACGCTACACCAGGAATTAATCATGACCATGCCTGGCACGGGTAAGCGTTTTACCGTGTTTTCCAACCTGCTTACACATTTTTCACCACCGAGGCTTTCCCTTCCCTTGGCCTAGACCCGATCATACCCCGTTTCGCCGTAGAATAAATTCTAAATTTCGCGCGAAAGGTGGTGCATCGAGGGAAGAGATCGCGTGAAAATTGCAACGAGAGTCGTGAATTTAAAACGATTAATTATTAGTCGTTCTCGAGTCGAGTTGGTTTTTGTTCGTAAGGTTTTCGATTCGATCGAATTCGTTTTGTTTTTTATTTGTTTTATTGAGAGGTGAATCGTTGTTGTAGGGAACGCGGCAGCGATCGGGCAAGGCGATGACAAGCCCGCCAAGCAGAAACGGCACCGGACGAGATTCACGCCGGCCCAGCTGAACGAGCTCGAAAGGTGTTTCAATCGGACCCATTATCCGGACATCTTCCTCAGAGAGGAGATAGCTGTGAAAATCGGCCTCACGGAAAGTCGAGTCCAAGTAAGTTCTGTTTCTCGTTCCAACAATCTTAGCGTCTTAGCCTTCGCGATCCGTTTGGAACGATGAATTTCATATTTGATTAAATTCTCTTTGACAATTTCTGACATAATTTGTCAGAATTAAACGCGATGAAATTCTCCTCCTAACAATTCCACGCGATGTTTCAACCAGAAATGCCGTTCGTTCAAGTCCGTATCGCTGTTTGGACAACAAGAGTCACCGTTTAATAGGCATAACTAGGTGGTACCGCTAGTGTCTCGAAATCAATTTCACCGGCCTACCGCGGCTTTTCGGATTAAACTGAAACTTGGAGTAACGTTAAGCCTTCACCCTACGGGGTCTCGAATTTTGGTGGGCTCCGACTCGCCGTGGGCCAACCGCAAAACTTTCTGCAAACTTTCCCTACCCGTGTGTCAAATTCAAAGATCATGGAAACAACACATCCTTCGAACTTCCAATCACCATTTTCGAATATACTCCAATTCGTACGTTAACGTTAACGTTATCTCAAAATATTTAAATATATCGAATCTTGTTTCGTGAAAATTATCAATTCATAAATGCGATTGAACCGCTCCAAGAAAAGAAGTATTTCGTGGAAATTTCATTTCACTCGGTTGATTCAAAGAACGAAGCAAAATTCGGCGCATTGTTCGGAAAACGGAAATTGATAAAATTGATATTGAATCGTTGGCCAACGGGGTAGCTCGCGCTCTTTCTTCCCCTGGCCATCAGCCGGGCGGAGCTTTTTTAAGTCTCCGGGGCACGTCTAGAAAAACGAAGCTAATAGAAATTCATGAAAATTTTATTCGCAACTCGGAAGCGTCAGTCAAGCCGGGCATCGTGCTGCATATCAAACAGTTTTCGCTCGTCTTCTTCTCCCGTGTCGACACACACGTGGACGCCGCGTTTCCACTGGATTCCCTTATATTCTTCATACACACGTGGACAGTTATGAGAAAAATTCGTCCCTCGACTATTACGAAGGTTAATTTTCGCGCTTCTATGACAACGTGATTGACCTGCTCCAAATATATACCCATCGGCTCGCTCTTTCAAATTCACAGCCACGACTTTTCCCTCCCTTGCTTTCGGTTTTCCTCATTTTCTCTCCTCCCGTCGAACCTTCATCCCTCCCTCGATCGCGTGCAATTTCTTTCGCTAAACCTTAAGCCCACGTCTTCCTTATATATATATATATACGTATATATTTCTCGTCATCCCTTTGCTCGAGAAACGTCACGAGGCTTTCAAGCGTAACCGTTCGGCTTCCATCGTCGAATCCACGGGACTCGAACATCGAGCATAATTATTAAAGAACGAAGGAAATCACTAAACGAATCAGGGAGGGGAGGAGGAGAACCGTCCGTCGATGAGAACGAGACCTCTCTCTTCGAGAACCGGGTATATATACCGGGACTTGGAAAAGTATCGTGGACGAACGGACGAAAAGGACGAAGAAAGATGGAAGGAGAGGAAGAAGAGAGAGAAGAGAAGAGAGAGAGAGAGAGAGAGTTGGAATGGTCGGGGTGGCTGGGCGCCTAATTGAAAGAGGTTTTCCGTGGGCGAGGGTAGACATCAGAGCGAACGAAGCGTTTCCAAGGAAACCTGGCGGCGGGCTCTCGTGTGGAGAGGGCCTCAGGCACCAATGGGGCTGCTAGGGAAAGGCGCCGGCGCCCAGCGTCGCTATACTATCGAGCGTCGCTATCAAAGATTTCTTGACTCGCCATGGCCGACCCGCCGCCGCTCAACATTTTTACGAGGGCTGGCCCATCCCCATGTATCGGACCGCGTGCACACGTGGCTCCTGTGCATCCATCGTGCCTTCCTCCGTTCGCCTATTCCCCGCTTTATTAAAAGCCAATTTTAAATCTCTCTTGCGTTGTGACGATGAAATGACAAACTTTTGACGAATGTTGAAGCTTAAGTCCGGTAAACCTTACGAGAAGATGATACTATAACAGTATTGAAAAGATCGTTGTGAATGTTTTAATGACGATTAAACGAATGATTAAGAAAAGAAAAGAAGAAAGAAAAATTGGATAATCTTAATTGGGAACGAACGAAAATATTTTACAGTTTGAATTGTCAAAAATTCGGTGGAATTGTTGCATTCCATCGAATATCGTTAAACGAAAAGAATGTTTTATTAGTTACAAAAACTATGAGAAAGAAGAAAGAAAGAAGGAAAAAAGAACGACGATAAATTAAACGATTCGCGCGAAATTCGAGGATCTATTAAATTATATATTTAATTGGCGATACCAAGAATCGGGGAAAAGAATACACTTCGCTTGTAAAGAAGTTTCGTAGAATTTTTCGCGCCAACAATCGGGACGACTTTTTTTAATCGGGCGAAAAAGGGTGGGAAGGTAGTTGCGTGGCCACGGAACGGATCAGGAGAACGGTTGTTGTACGCAAGCTAAAAATTAACCAACGGCCAATTTTAATGCGATGATAGCGGGGAAGAGTGCCACGGGAAGCATTTCTAATTACCAACAAAATACTTGAAATAGTGTAATGAAATATTACGATTTATCGATCTGTTGTAATTTATTACTACTTGAAAAGAGATGTAATTGCCGCTCCGTCTCTAATTGCTGTTAATTAACAACTATTATATTGCTTGCACGATAACGTCGGAACTGCTTTACAATCAACAATTACTTCGATGCGGCATCACGTACCCAATCCGGAATTATGCGCGCGAGGCATTCAATTACACTTTAACGTAATAACGTTTTCAATTGTAGTACTCGTTTAACTCGTGACCATGATCAGACGCGGCCGCCCCGCGTCTCAGATACATATCGGCGTGCAATTTTTATCGTGGTAATCGGATATTTAATGAAGGTGGGGCAGGCTCGTATGAAAATCCACCTCAATCAGCCGAAATAAAATAATCAAAAAGCCGCTAACTTTATCGTTAAAAAATTCACAGCGCCCCTCCACCGACCTTTCACTTGGTTTAATTAGTGGTAATGGATATAATGAATTTCATATTAGACCAATTTTTATCATTTCGAATAAAATATATACAACCTCTTTATTTATCCTTACTTTCGCGAAATATTTCATTTTTTCCCATTCACACACGCTTATTTATTTTCCTTCGTTGCGTTTGCCCTTCTTCTCGCGCGCAGTTCCATACGCACTCCATACCAACGACGGTTTTCCATATGAAAACGTAACAATGGGATGGGAAACAAAGAACGGAAAAGAAAATGGCTATTTCTTTATTTCGCTTCGCCTTTTCGTTCTTTCGTCAATTTCGTTCGTCGTCGCGGCCACCAATTTATCACCCCCATCCGATCCGCCAAGTATTATTCGAAATAATAAAATTGTCGGTCGTTAGCGTGCGATCCGTGTAGCAAAAAAAAAAAAAAAAAAAAAAAAGAAAAAAAGAAAAAAAATGTCGCATCACCAACAAAAGTTGGACGATATTCGAAAATTATTCGTGGCAAAACGCCGATTCGACGGCCATAAATAATTTCGCGGTGCTCGTGGATGCGCGAAAAAAATACCATCCACCGGGAACGTCCAAGGGCTTTTTTTTTCATCCCTTCTCGAAACCTCCCCTGGTTCGCGACCAGGGGTCAATGGCTCTCTTTTTTTTTTTTTTCATACACTATCTCTCTCTCGCGCGCGCGTGCATTTTCGCGTGATAGGGCTCACGTTTCGATGCCCAATTTTAGAAAGGTGTGCACAAACGCTTCGTTCCTTACCGTCAATCATATCTAGAATATTAATTAACCGATCTCGATGGTTCAAATAAAGCTCAATCATCCGCCGTTCCACCGACGAACGTATGTCCACCACATGGTGTGATCGTGTACACGCGCGCGCGCGTATGCCCACATTCAGACAAAAAGCTTTTTTCAGCCGGACATTTATCGCGAAGCCGACAGTCTATTTTCGGGGACACGTATTGGCGCTTTACGGTTTTAATTACGCGTATTTTAATCCGCCCAGGAGACATTTTCTGTTTCCAGAGCGGCCGCCGCGGAACGAGCTTTATTAGACCTGCACATAGCCGATTTAAATTTAATCATAATGAAGAGGCGATTAAAATTGCAATCGTCCACGGAATAGAACCCATAGCGGCGAGCAGTTAACGTCTGCTAACAGGCATTTAACTTAACTGCCTCAGGTAACTGCTCGTTTCTAGGCTGAAGGGTCCTTTCGATTACTACTGCTCGGAAATTTTATGGGCCACGATCTTCCGTCGATGGCCGCCACGATCCGTACCAAACCTTCGTACGCGACCAAGAGTAAAAAAAAGAAAAAAAAAAGAGAAGGAAAGGAAAAAGGGGGGAACGGGATGGGAGCGAAACACGCTGTCACGAAACAAACACCCTCGTTCGTTCGTTTTCGCTGTCCTTTCTCGCTGTCCGCAACTTTCTCGTCGCGCGAATCTTTCGTATTTAAGAAACGATCGAACGAAAAGGGAACGAGTTTATGGATTCTACGATTCTACGATTTTAACGGTGATAACACTGGATACGAGATCCTGAAAGATTGGTACTTCCTTTGATTGAATTTCTTCCGCTCTTAAAATTCTCTTATTCGAGCAAATTCTCCAAGCGTAAAATTTTCTACGTTCTCTCTCGTCGATACTTTCTTTGAATTCGTGCGTTTGAACATTTGTATTAATTTGTTTATATTCATGTTCGATCATTGTGAAATTGTCGACGAGCTTCGTTGCTCCGATTCATTTTGGGGAATGATCGAAGTTCGAATCTACTATGGACTTTCGCTAAAAGTCACATATGCCGCTCTGAGAGATGGTCCGCGGTGGTTGGGTATTGCTTTCAAAGTATCCCACGGGAGGTGGACGAATGGCGGTGTCATTCGACCATCCTTTGGGACAAACAAGTGACGGCATCGGGGGTAAATGTAGTTCGTTATTGTCTTGTCCTGAGAAATGGGAAATAGTTTCAACGTGTGTATATATACATATATATATATATATATACATACCCGCAAGAATTGAAAAGAGC